AAACCCCCCCTTTCTTAGATTCACTTTGGTTCCACCAACTCCAGTCCGTAGCCTATTAAGTGAGTTACAGGTAACCCAGTTCTATACATGAACAGGGGCTAGACTTTCCTGGGGTTCCATCACTTTAGAGGTGGGTAGTTCTTTATTTCCACAGTATAATTCTGGCATCCTCTGTTGTGTCTTTAAGGTTAACAGACGTTCTGAAAAACCTTTTCTTGATTCTAATATGGGAGGGGTGGGATGCTAGCTGAAGAGTGGATGTGCATTTGATACAGATGTATTGAGTCTTTCTCTGCTAGCTGCTACCTCTCTCCAGATGTCACTGGATGCAACTGTAAACTCTATTTGGTTCAGCTCAATGGGTGGGGAAACTTTATGAAGGGACTGTCATTCACAATTTGAGTTGAGGAAAAGTGGGAAAGCTGGAAGAGCAGGAGCTGTTATTCCCCTGGAGGATAACAAATAGGCCCTTACCACTTTGGTTTAGGTAGCTGAAATTCAGTATGTTTGTGCAGGAGGGCACTGGAAGGATGAATACATGCAGTGATCGTATGTATTTGCATTTTATTTTAATAGTTTTAATACTATGTACTTGGAGCTGCTTCCCTTACATTTTGAATCTCCCACCTGTTAGGTATCAATAGAGGGTTGGCTCTCATTATCCATTAATGATTCTACAACTTTCATTGAGTGGTCTCTGTGTAACTGTTTTTCATGGACAGAGTGATACCACACCTGGTTGGGATATTTGTCCGCAGAGTAGCTTAGGGCCAAGGTTGAAGTTCTTAGAATTTGTGGTTATGTGCCCCAACTGGTTCCTGATAGTTTTTGAAAAACATGTTCCCTGCAGAGACATTTTTCTTTGTATTTACGCAGCATTTCTTATAGGTCAGCGTACAATCCAAACAAACAACTAGATATTTGAGGGCAGAAGAACAATCTGGTTAGATGCCCTTCTGGGTAACCTGAAGTTGCTGAGCTGAAAGGCATATATTTTTTGGGTTGAAGTCTTGGGTTGAAGTTGGTTTCTGTCATAATATGCAGCAAGCTCTTCTAATGCATCTGTTAGGAGACATTCTGGCATATGAAAGCTATCTGACTGAACAGTACATGCAAGATCATAAGTACAGTGGGGTCTCTACTTAAGAACGTCTCTACTTAAGAACAATCCAACTTAAGAACAGCTCCATTTGCTAAATTTTGCTTCTACTTGAGAACAGAAATCCAAGATAAGAACAGGAAAAAAAACCTTTCCTGCTCTTTTTTTAACCTTAGGTCATCTTAGGTTAAAAAAAAATTCTCCCCCTAGTGGTAGAGTACGTATTAACCAGCTTTGCATTAGTTCCTATGGGAACTAATGCTTCAATGTACGAACGCACCTCTACATAACAAAAAAACAGCCAGAACGGATTAATTGGTTTTCAGTCCATTCCTATGGGAAATTTTGCTTCAACTTAAGAACGTTTCAACTTAAGAACACCATTCCAAAATGGATTAAGTTCTTAAGTAGAAGTTCCACTGTAGTTTCTATGGACGGAAAAGAGCAGATACGGATTAAATGGTTTTCAGTGCATTCCTATGGGAAATGTAGATTCAACATAAGAACTTTTCAACTTGAGAACCACCTTCCAATACGGATTAAGTTTTTAAGTAGAGACCCCACTGTACGAATAAAATGTTTTTGTGTCTTGAGGAAGTGGTTGATCATTGACGTAGAAGTTAAACAAAATAGGAACCAGTACACTGTCCTAGAGTAGACCATTCTTTTGAATTGTCCACTGATGTGTTGTACTCTGAAGTTAATGAAAAATCTGTGAATTTGTAAAAGGATTGCTATTACTTTATTTAGCTTGTCTTCCTTGGTTAGATAATAGAATTTTTGCAGTAGTACTTGATGATAGATGTTGTAGGCTAATGTTGCTGAGAGGCGGAGCCTAGAGATATGTAAAAGAGGCGGAGTCAGAGAGTGAGTCAGTCAGTGAGAGAAAGAGGAGTGAGTCAGAGTGGAGAGGGAGATAGAGTGTGGTATTTGGGAGATCTGAGGTGTGATTAGAGTGAAGTTTGGACCTGCCCCTTCATCCTTCCATAAGTAATGTTGATTTAATGATCAACTGGTGGCAATACTCCTTTTTACCCGCTGCCACTTCACTGTCTTTTAAATAAAACTTGTCTATTGATTACAGATGATTGATTATTAATCATAGGTTTCTACAGGTTTATTAATCATCAGTCTCAACCTTCTATTTGTTATACAGTTCTTATTCACTCTTCACTTGAATCACACCTCAGATCTCCCAAATACCACACTGTGAAGGGAAAGACCAGAAGCTTCGGGTCTTTCTAGTAGAGCCGACGCTCTTAAAGACTTCTAAAATGACACAGACTAGCCCTCCTACCTCCCCTGGTCGTAAGGAAGACCAAGGTGCCGGCACACAGGAGTCAGGAGAAACACCACCAGAGGGGAAGGTGTCATGTGCGGTTGATACCAGTGACTTGGAGAAAGCTCTCAAGGGGTTGATGACAACTGGTCCTTATAAGGAAGATTTGGAGGGAAGAGAAGAGGTGGGGCTAAAGGGAGAGGAAGGAGGGCTGGGGGATATAACAGTGAGGCGGGATGATAATCCAGGTGGTTGGGAGATGGTCTGGATAGAGGATCCGTGGACCAAGCGTTGGGAGCAGGTGTGAGTGCCTCGAGAGGAGGCCGAAAGGAGGCGTAAGAGGGGCTTGATGCAAAATCCCTCTTATTGGGGGGAGACGGAGGCTAGGCTCTGGCATAAGAAGCTGGCCGACGCGAAAGAGGCAAGTGAGAGGGAAAGGGCGGCCAGACAGGCATGCCATATAGAAGAGATGAAGAAGATGGGCAGCTACCTGGTCCCTGGAGTGCCTCGCCAAGGGAAGGAGACCTTTCGTGGGGCTGGATGGGAGACGAAGAAACCCTCCCGTTGTTGAATCCGTTCGACCAAGAAATAAAGGACAAACTGTTGGGGGAGGTCCCTGTTGGACCTTGGGACACTGAACCTGTTAAAGCTGTTTTTGAACCTACGTGGGTGCCCTTGCCTGATCCTGTCTCAGAGCAAGAGATTAAACAAAAGTCACCCATTAAAAATGAAGTTCCGTTTGTTCCGTTTAATAAAGAAAAGTTAACAGCAGAGAAAGCGGTTTCGACTCCTTCTAGGGAAGAGCGGGAAGCCCCAAAAAATGAACCCTCACACACACTCTATCTCTCCACTCTGATCTCTCTGACTGACTGACTCACTGTCTCTGACTCCGCCTCTTTATTACATATCTCTCGGCTCCGCCTCTTAGCAACCTTAGCCTGCAACATGAATATGCATGACTATTTAACATAATAGGGAGAATACTACATACCTGTTGGTGGCCAACAGGTTAACAAAGGTTACCCCTGCAATCTTCCTTGTTTCAAAGCTGACCTCAAAGCCTTCTGTTAAATCTACAATTTCTGCTATATAATTCTTCCCGATCTAAAGCCAGCCTATTGTGGTATGAGTAGGGGTTCCACTACTGCCATCAGACAGTTAAGAATCATTCTTCACAGGGCTTTATAAAGATGACAAAATACTGAGATGGGCTTGAAGCCTTTTGTGACTGTGAGTTCTTTATCAGGTTTTAAAATAGCAATCAGTTTTGCAGTTCTCAAAATTTTCAGAGAGTCAAGACAATTATTCATGAAATTAAAGAGTCTTCTTTTGTTCCAAAGTCAGAATATATTGTCTGTTCTATGCAGATGTCACCCAGGCTTGCTGCCCTGGATTTTTTTTTACCCTACCTATAGGGTGAAGAAAGTGGTTGGATCACACTGCATTCCCAGGAACAAAATAATATTTTTGAAACTCAAGACTATTTTTGGTCATGTAAGCCTTGCCCACCTTAAATCAAGCCAAATTAACACCAACTAGAACAAAACAACCAGAAATTCCTCCCACTGTTCAACATTATAACTTCAGAGAGGACTGACCACATTTTGGGAAATGGGAAGCTCCTTAGAGTTCCTTATGAGTCAAATACAGAGTCTTGTCATTTGCACATTTGTGAAAAACAATAATCAATACTTATCCAGAGTAATACTGAATGTCCTTTCTTGGGAGTGCTCTTTTGCATAGGGACTTTAACAGACTATGTAGAGAACAGCTAATACTATCAACAGAGCTTAGAACTTCTTAGTGCTCCGGCCAGCCTGGACAACCTACCTGGAGGAATCATGGTACAGTTTCCAGTTGTAGCCCATGAAAATTAACTTTTCCCATCTCACAGTTCTGAAGGGTGCCCCAACTCTGGAACAAATTTTGGGGACACTAAGGGTTCCTTGTTCCACTCTTGAAAGTATGAAAGAACATTCCATTTCAGGAGATGGACACCAACTACATACAGTTGACTATTTGTATTTGGGGAAATGGACACATCATTGGATGAATGTAACTTGAGTAGCTGATAGTCATAAGGTAGCACGGTAAGCAAACCCCCTGCCAGACTGTTTATGGGGCTTATTCATCAATTTTGCAATGAATATTCCTTAAATCATGTTGTAGCTTGACAAACTCCTTGTCTATTGTGAGTGAAGGTAAAACACAGGTTTTGAACCAGTAAACTAATTTTATCAGTGGGACATACCTGTAAAACCTGGAAAAACAGTCAAAAACACCAGCCAGTGGTCTGCATATAACAAAATATTATTTTTATGATGTATATGAGAATTTCCCTTATTCCAAGAATTTTTCAACACTGAGAGACACATTCAGTTACAGAGGATCAGCAGGTGGCTTTAGGCTTTAGGCTCAGCTGAGACAACCCCACCCCAAGATGTGGTGGTGGTGGGAAAGAGAGAACAGTTTTAGCCAGTTTGTACAGAGTCATGACATAGTTTCTCACCATTGCTCATAGGTTGGATTACTCAGTTCAGAACAGACAGCAGTATGACAGAGCTAGCATTGCTCAGCATGTGTGCGTGTGTGTTTTCCAGATGTTGGTGGTCTGTGTGTGTGTGTGTGTGTGTGTTTTCCAGATGTTGTCGGTCTATAACTCCCCGCATTTCTCACTGCCAGTTATACTGCTTGGGGCTGCTCGGAGCTGTAGTCCAACAATATCTGGAGGGCTACATTTTATCTGATTTAGGACAATGAATGTATTCATCAGAGTCTGATTCGTTAATGTTTTATCAATACTGGACTCTTGCCCTATATATTAAATATTAGGATGAGCTGTACTTCTGCATTCCAATTTGGTTTTTGGAATGCTGCTCACAAAGTTCAGATTGTTTCATTTCAGACGGGCCCAGTATTTAGTAACATCATACATGGTGTATGAGTGAAATAATATATATTTTTTGACCATCATGCTATGATTTCTGGACCAACAAGGGCATAAAACCCCATGCATGATAGTGGTAAAAGCATGTATTTTCCTACAAGCATTGTGAGCTCTGTCTTGCCCTCTTAACATCTCTGAAAAAAACTTACAACCATTTCAAGTGCACAGGTTCAATGAGTAGTTCAAGGATAGGGAACTGAACAACAAACCAGTACAACCCGAACTATCCATTGGAAAGTTGTGGTATCTTCCAAAGCTTTGAAGCCACCCAAAGAGAATTACCACTTGTGGACAACCAACATATTAAGATGTTACAGGGTACTTGGGGAGGACTTGGGGCAACACGAGTATTCTGTCTTCCCAGTTCCTGCCGCATGTAAATAACAGTATTATCCCTCGGTTCTCTAAACGTCAGCTCTGGGATATTGTGGGGTTGAAGGAACAGTTACATGTGTCCATGGCCCTTTGCAGAGTAAAAATACAGCCTGTCTCCTTCCACTGATTACCAGTTAAGGAAAACACCAAACATTTTAGGCAGGGGCTCCTCACTTTGAAGGATGCCTTCAAGGCTTTCTCTAATTCTGAACAGAGCTTTGCACAGCAGATAAGAGTGGCATAAACATTCCCCTCTCCTCTACATGTGTACTATTAGATTTTGAGCGCAGCTCCCAGACAACAATACATTTTCTCTCTCACATACACACACACACTCATTTTTTCATTCTCCACATACAGTAATCAGTACACAGCAAGTACCTGAATCCGATACAAATTCTTATGTGCAATATAGCTGCCTCCAGAACTTTTCCAGAGATGTGCTCAGTTACATCAATCAAAAGTGCAAGATCAAGATCAGTTGGTTTTCTCCACTGATTCTCAACATGAACATTTCTGTGCTCCCATTAATACACACTTTCTCCCTTCCCCATCCTTCCCCTGCTAAAAGCTGCTTTCCCATTTATTATTTTCTGACACTCTTCCCATATTGGCAATGGGACAACACCTACTGCATGTAAATTTCAGCAGACTCTCTTCTCAAAAAATGACAAGCCTGTCTTCTCCTTCACCTAAAAGATGAGGGTTCTTGGAAGATAACTGCCAATTAAACTCTTAGCTCTATGGATGCATGGCCCCACTTAGCATGATATCTGCTATACTCACAGAGCCAGCACTCATGTGCTTTCTTCAACCTAGGCACAGCTGTATGTCCTTATTCTTTGGCTTCTGCCCCACTCTAAGGCAAGCCCCACCCTATCCCCAAGATCACACAGCAGCCTTGGTGTTCCCTAACAGAGGTCCTCCTGGCTGAATTTGCTTGTGTGTTGACAGATGTGGTCACGACATCACCATCTCCCATCGCTGACTCATTGCTGTGCTTTCGCAAGGGTTAATGACGACTTCTCTCATGTTCTCATTGGTGTCCCCCACCATTTCTGTGTCTAAGCAGTAACGGGTAGCCATGTGCTCAATATGGGAACCAACTTTATTCCATCGCTTTGGAAAGAGAAAAGAGAAATGCAAAAAGATTAAATTCAACATGCTCGGTCCCACCAAACTACAATAACCACAACACTTCAAAAGCTTACAGCATTATCACAACACTGGTGACTTCCATATTTGTTGAAGTACAACTTCCATCACAGCTGTAAGGCCATTGGCCATACAATCTGGAGTCCTGGGAGTTTTAGTTCTACAAATATAGAAGGTACCGTATGAGGAAAAGATAGTCTGAGGTGTATGAAACAATGTTACAGTCAGCACTCTATCTGTCTTGTTTTGGTGTTCTTGATTACAGTAAAAGCAACAGCATGTATATAAGTTGACTGAACCATGTAAATTGGTTGAATTCAAATACATATCCTTCAAGAATATTGGTAAACGTTAATGCATTTTTGTGAGGAAGTATAGTCTCACCTGTTTCCCATCCCCTTCTCTGCAAGGTAGGAGCACCACCTGGGATCCTGGAAATAAAGTCTGGATGGACAAGCACAGCTTCTGGTAGCGGACCTGCTGGTTGTAGGTATATGTCCATTCCTAAAACAAAAGAGTGTACATGAAGCCAAATCATCACAGTGTCTCAATATATTCTTTTCATTTCAGCCAACTGCATTAATTCCTTTTTTCTCTCTGACCTTCTCTCCTGCCCAGTGTTTATTTCTGACCATCTACAATGAGAACATCTGCTTAGATTAAAGGAAGCAGAATCAAAGCAGGGGATATCCTTCCGAGCAGATCCCTTCTATGTTCTACTGAACAGAATTGCAGGCAGCCTAGAATTCTTAGTTATTTCCAAACCTCTTTGGGTGGGTTTCCCCTTATGCATGTGCATTACTCCTGTCCCCTCCAAAAGAGCCACACTTACTCATTTCTTTCTGCTCCTCTCCATCCACCTTTGAAGGACTGATGTCAGCCCTTTGGACTGGAGCATTAGTTCGGCTCAAAGAGGCCTGAATGAGGCAAGCATGTGGCAAGGCAGGATTGAAAAGTTCTTGCCCCACGTCAGTGGTGCCTTTTGCTCCACCTCAATCTCTGGTGATGGTGATGGCAGTGCAGTGAAGAAAGAAGGGACCTGGGCAGGGAGAGGCAAGAGGGGCTAAAAGGTGAGGGAAGAAAACCAGAGGTGAGGCGTGTGAGGAAGGTGTTTATTTGGGCTTGAGGGGAGAGGCTCTTCACTGAGGGGACTTTTTTGTGGGGAAGACACATGAAGAGAAGATCATTTCCACACCTAAAAAAGTAAATTAAACTCAATGTGTATTGACATTTATTTTTCTTTCGCACATTTTATCTGATAGAGGCAGATTTACAGCTCCCTCTATTATATATTATTACATCAATATTAATATATTAAGATAGAATTATATTATGAAAAACCTATTTGAATGTGTTTTCATTTGACCAGATCGGCGGGGTATAAATACAATAAATAAATAAAAATTCTCCATTAAAAATGCCTTTTTATGCAAATGTGGCAGGGAGCTGCAGGTTACTTGGCTATTATGTAGGGGGTATAAATACAATAAATAAATAAATTTTCTCCATTAACAATGCCTTTTTATGCAAATGTAGCAGGGGGCTGCAGGTTACTTGGTTATTATGTAAAAGGGGTTGTGACTTGAAAAAGGTTGGGAAACACTGCTTGATGCTTTGCCAGCAAGGAAGCATATTAATATCCATTTCTTATCTTCTCTTTTATCTCCAACTGGACATCTAGTGTGCCTGTCCAGTATCTCCAATGGACGAAAGAAAGCTGCATCAGAACCAGCAGAAAACCTAGCATGCTCCATGAACTATTTTTAGAAGCCTGCTGAGTGTCTGTGTTTACATACATTGACCCCTGCCTGCAAAGCATGACTTTCCAGGAGTAATGATTTTCCCTCTGCCCCTCCCTCTCCTGCCCAACAATGTTTAGGAAAGAAAGGAATCTGCAGCCTGTAAAAACAACCTCGGCACCACATGCAAACTATGAGCTAGGCAATTCCCAACCTCTGGATTACAATATTCAAATAAAACTGGGCATAAAATCCCCACTCAGCCACAAAACTCACTGAGTAACCTCAGGCTAGTAATTTTCTCTCAGTCTAGCTAACCTCACAAGAGCTACAATGGGATTAAAATGAAGAGGAAAAGCCCTAAGTATCTTTGAGGATACATAGGATTAATATCTAGGCTAGCCATTCTTAAATTGGGCCATATGGCCCGTTTGAAATGGGCCACAACTTACAGGTTTGTTATGCAACTTGTACAATCCTGATTCGGTCTATATTTCTTTCATATTGTATTTATGGCCAAAGCTGGAAAAAGGTTGAAATTGGCTGAGTAATAATAGCAGGAGATAAAGAACTGTAGACCAGTATTTTTTTTCTCTAAATGGTTTCACTGTTTTATATAGGATATGTGGTATTCACTGTTTAGATATTTCTTATAGATTATGGGACATGAACATTTGATGAAGTTTGTAAGCAAATAAATAGTTGAAGATACAGCCCTCATTCAGACAACCACTTTGGGACATGTACTCAGTCCGGACTAAAGTTTCATTCCAGTGTGGATTAAATGTGCGTGTTGTTCTGCAAAGCTGTCGCTTGAATAGCGCACCACCTGCCTAGATCTTTGCTCATTTGCTGTGCCACAGCAGCACGGTAAAATAATGCGAAGTCAAGCATTTAAACAATGGCTTCCATGCGTACACAATCCATTCATGCAAGCATCCTGCAAAGGCACAAATTCTAAAGCTCCCATACTGGTTTGTGTAAATCAGCCACATAAAATGTGAAAGGGATTAGTCTTAAAGCTTCTGGATCCTGAATAAATAGAAGCAATATGTGGGTTTCTAACATGTACCTGTCAAGATGATAGTGGAAGGAACAGAGCAAGGGTGAAACAAGGGCATGGTGGAAGAAGGCTGCTTCCTTTCCCTTCCTTTAGCAAATGACACCCATGTTCTATAGATTTCCATATTTTTATCTGCAGCTGCCATCTGGTTTCTGTCTGACTAAATGGCAGAGAAGGGGAGGGGTGCATTGTTGCCATCCAAACGCCAGCCAAAGATGAGACTTTAAATTTATTTCTCAAATTCATTATGATGCTGAAGAGCCATGACAGGTGTCACCTTGAATGATGTTAAAGCCTTGAAAAATAGTCCCTGGCCTCCAACAGCATTGATGTAGCTGGGTTTTCTATGGAAAACAGTTAACATTTAAACTGAGTCACCATCTGAAGCATAATGAACCCTCCCCCACCTCTTTTATTTCCTCTGTGGCCTTTTACCTACACCCAGCCTTTCAACCATTTCCAGAAGAATCTCACTTGTCTTCTGACAAGGTGTAACTGTTTCATTGGCTTTGCTCCTAGATTCTTTCCATTGCGCATATGACAGGGTTTTCTATATGTGCCACATATCTTGTGGGAGTGTGAGCAACCCATGTTTGGAGCAGAGTGGTGGCCATAGTTCATTGCACCTTTACAGGAAGAACCTCCCACCAGACCATAATGGATTAAGAAGGAAGTAATGGAGCTGGCTACAGAGCTCAGTGGTTTGGGTCCCAGAGGTTGATACTTTCATTCCCCACTGTGCCTCCTGGGAGAAGAGCCAGCCTCTGTGGACTTGAGCAAGGTGAACAGTTCCAGAGCATCCCCGGAAGAAATGGATAGTAAACCACTTCTTTGTATTCTCTACCTAGAAAACTCTGGAAAGGGTCATCCTAAGTTAGAATTGACCTGATTGCATGCAATTAATATACAGTGGTGCCTCGCATTACGACGTTAATTCATTCCAGTGAAATCGCTGTAGAATGAAAACATCGTAATGCAAAATTAAAAAGCCCATTGAAACGCATTGAAACCCCTTCAATGTGTTTCAATGGGCTGGAAACTCACCGTTCAGTGAAGATCCTCCATAGGGTGGCCATTTTTGATGCCTGTGCAGCGAGGAATCCATCCCAGAAAACAGCGGGGGGACATTTTATTTACCCAGCGGCCATTTTGAAACCGCCGATCAGCTTCCGAAAATCATCATTTTGTGAAGAATTGGTTCCCGAAGCAGGGAACTGATCATCGCAAAGCGAAAAACCCCTATTCAGACCATCGTTTTGCGATTGCAAAAGCGATCACAAAAATGTCATCGTAATGCGGTTTTGTTGTAATGCGGGGCAATCGTAAAGCGGGGCACGACTGTAATTATTGTGACGGACAGGCCAGAAGCTACACCTGTCCATCACAATGGAACACTGATTCAGTAGCCAATGGTTGTGCAGGAGGGCGGAACCAAGGAATATAAGAAGAGGATGGAGGACAGTTGTAATCAGTTAGAGTTTCGGTTAGCCAGGGGTTTCAGTTAGTGATGATGTAGAACAGTTAGCTAGGAGTTAGGAAAGAGTTAGGTAGTTGGAAGAATTGCTTTGGAAAGAAACCCTTGGAAAGAAATGTATAAGAGAACCGAATGCAACGAAAACTATAATAAATAAATAAATTGTTTTAAAGTGATTGACACTAAATACAAAGTAACCAGCATATTTCCAAGTTAAATGAAGTTTAATGAATATCAAATACAATGCCGTATATGATTTCCTTGAGTCTTAAATATGTTAATCTGTTAATAAACAATGTTATATTTGACACGACTGATTCTGTGGTCCTAATTGGTAATTGAGGAAGGATTCCCTCTGGTGGCAGCGGAAGTGGAGACGAGAGAAACTGTCATGCCCGAAGGCCAATCTGTTTGTTAGGGAGAACATACAGAGGAGTTGGGGGTGTGTGACAATTAGTCATAGAGTAAGAAATCAAATCCCATGGAAGATGTGATCACGACAATAATTCTTTGCTGACTGGATTAGCATAGGCATCCTTCAGTCTCGAGAGACTCTGGTAACATGCTCTGAATCGAGGAGTGTCCTCTCCAGAGCATGAAGCCCGGGTAAGGTAATATGGAGGATAGGCTGTTACCCAAGCAGCAGATCCCCCCTCTCCACGTTGCTGAAATGGTCCAATGGAAAGGCAAGAGCCAATACAACTGGTTCCAGCAATGTCGCAGGAGTCGGCAGAACGACACATGCTGCCTTCGGGACTCCAGCTCCGGATTTTGACTCGAGATTAACTCCTGAAGCCTTTTCCATGAGTGGATATAGCCAAAAGGCAGTGGAGGTGTGAAATCAGAGTTTGCCTTCTCCTAGATGGGCTGCCTTCCAGGGCTGACGAGCCCCACCTGACTGGATACATTCATTTTATAAAACACAGCTCTGTGATCTGGAATGTATGGCTGCAGGAGTCTGAATCTGAACTATACCTACCAAGAGAGAGAGGCCACCTCTTCCATGAGTGGATATAGCCAAAAGGCAGTGGAGGTGTGAAATCAGAGTTTGCCTTCTCCTAGATGGGCTGCCTTCCAGGGCTGACGAGCCCCACCTGACTGGATACATTCATTTTATAAAACACAGCTCTGTGATCTGGAATGTATGGCTGCAGGAGTCTGAATCTGAACTATACCTACCAAGAGAGAGAGGCTACCTCTGTGTGTGTTTTTGTGTATGTGTATGTGT